ACAGGTCATGTTCTCTTAAAGATTTAACAGATGAGTCAGCGGAAATTAGTCTTTACTTGTTCGGCAGAAATGATTCACCAGCAAGTAAAATTCAAGAATGCACAGCTATCATCCCCTTTATAGACTCAAAGAAATACACATTTACCGGCGAAGAGGGGTTTGACTCGATCCGTATTGCATAAAAAATCTTTAAATTCGTAGTCAAAGAAAATGACATTTCCATTTTTTAAATTGAAAAATCCAGCCTGCGAAGGATTACTTTCAACTCCACTTATGCCCTCAAAATTATCCAATTTATCTCACAACTCATACGTGCAGATAATGTCAATTATAAGCAGCAAAAGAAATTTGGAGACATCACAATTTCTTCAGAATTCTTCAAATCGGACAGTTTTTTGAAAATTGCCAAAGAACAGGGGACCGTCATCCACATCCCCATGGGTCGACATAAATCATGTCTTTCACATTTTCTGGATATTTTCAGCAATTTTGTGGGTCTTCCGGTCTTAGCGCGGGAAGATCCGGCGATTCCGGTTCATAGGAGCCTATTTTGAGATATCAAAAATAGGCTCCAAGAGACAACAAATTCCCTTCCCAGAAATAAATCCCCTACAATCACAAGTTCAAGCTTACTCGGACGCATCCGACAGCTTTGATCCTTCAAATGACTCTTTTTTCTCAGATGACTTTATGGGGCACGCAACTGAAAGCGACCGCCGACTTTCTATTTCCAATCAGGAAGACATTTGAGACTCTAAGTTCAACAGAGGAATTTGCCATAAATCTCAATTCATTACTGCAGAAAACTGCCTGCCCACAGAGAATCTGAATACACAACTCAAGATTTATCGGAAATCTCAAAAGAATAAACGGTGGCACAACATGAGAACTAGATCACAATCTAAATCGTTTCCTTGGGCCTAATTATACTTTTTAAATTTCTGTTCTCTGTTTTTTTTTTTCTTTTTTTTTCTCGCATTGTACTCGAAATCTTTATTCAATAAAAAACACTTTTTTGCTAAAAAAAATTACTATAAAAGCATAAGTGAGACATACAAAATGAAATTAGCTTATTATGGAGTTAATCGTTCATATTTTAAAAACATTCATGAGTAAATTTTTATTTGTTACCGAAAATTGAGATGACACATGATTAATTTGGTACTAAAATGTAACAAGGGACTTTAAAAATTACACATGAAACGTCAAAAACTAATTCCTTGATAACGATCTAATTGAGAAAAACAAATCTTAAAAACATTTCAAAATCGTGAATATAAATTTTATTCATGTATGAATTTATGCAATGAGTTCATTCGATTCAATAAGTAAATGTTTCAAAATAAAGGTAAGATGTATGTGTTTAATAGCTCCAAGCCAACAACTTTTCAATGAAATTGTTGAGCTATATTAGAATTGTCTAGCCTATGGTATTCATTTTTTGATTTTTAAACTGCACGCATACAACTTTAATAATATCACTATATTTGAAATCTCAAATTTTCATAAACTATCATATGGATTACACTATATATACAATTTTGATAATATCCATATATTTGAAATCTCAATTTTTTTTTTAAATTATCATATGGATTATACTATATATAAGTCTATAACCAAGAAATCAAGCTTACATGTATAACCTTGCCAGTAACATATTAATTATATAGACATTCTTCATACTCAATTATCTTAATTAGAAATATACATAACATATAATGTCATATTTTAATTGATAGATATATTCATCCTTTATATCAAATATCTAAGAAATTGAAACAAATATTACTGACCACAAAACCTGGAATGCGCGGACATGTATAGTAACACAAATCTTTGAAGTACTATTGACATGAAAATCAGAAACCTAAAAGTCTTATACAGGACAAAATTGAAAATCTGCAACACCAAGAGTCAATTACTATCACCTCGAAGATATCCATTCTGTGTGCAATGATGAACCCTCAAAAGTTGACACAATCCCTTTAAATAATGGTGTGCAAATTCTATTCTGATTTCCGTATAAGAATGCGAAAATAACAATATGTAACAATCATATCGTGACACTAAAAGTGATTTTAAAGAGCTAGATAAATAAGCTAGACTATATATAAAATGTACGGAGTAATTCTCTAACGCATGGATGTAACTTTAATATAGACTATTTTATCATGAAAATTGAGATCATTTTTCATTTCTGAATATGAGATGTTTGTCTTTTTATTTTTCATTGCATAATTTGACATGTTTATGTTTCAACTATAGCAACTTTTTGATGTGATGAGAATCTTTTTATATGTTTTGTTTATCCGACCTTCTAGGTAAAAACTGTTTAAATGTCTAAATCATACCACTTTTATTCATTCTATAACACTTATTTTATTTAATTAGATCATATATATTCAATATAATAACTCAATCTAATGAAAAATAATTTGATCATTGTCAATCACAATATGCAGCCTATGCTCTCCGCTATCGCCTTCATTAGAATCGGAATGTCATAATCTTCTAAACTCTTTTCTTAAAGACTAATTTGAAAATTTCTAAAACCTAGAAGAGATAATATGATCTTATTTTTGGAAGAAAGAAGGGATAATATCTTAAAAAAATAACTACACCCATTTTTGGATAAATAAATTAAATTTCAAAAATGTGTACTTAGTTTAAGAAGACAGTAAGTCAATATGATTCACAAGTGGTATCTTTTTTGGAAGTCCAAGCTTCTTTGACGAATCGACCTCGAGCCGTGAAGCTTCCTGTGAATGTTTTCATGTGGCAAAGAAAAAAATGTATGACCTAAAATAAAAAAGATTCTGAAAAGGGGGAAATGTAAACAAATTAAAATTACGAATGCAAATTAGACAATTAAAAGAATTTCAAAAGACAAAAATGTGATCACTTTATGATTTGGACAAAAAAGGACCGGTTTTAATTGAATGTTCTAATTGTCATTGCTATAAATAGTCTCCTAAAACCCTAATGTCATTCTTTTAAAAGTGTCCATTTGTATCTTGGAGTGTGGACTACTTCTCTCAACTTTATTCAACTAGACCTACTTTTAATCATGATAAACTCTTACAATATAATCCCAATGCACTTCTTGACCATGATAATGATAACCTTATGCTCACTGCATTACCTGATGAAGTGGTAATCAAATGTGCTATCTTGCAGCTAAACAAGGACTGCTATTCTTCAAGGTTTGTTGGGAAATTATTTACAAAGGTTTCACTTTGGCAACATAGGATTTCTTTCCTAGGCAGCAGGCACCCTCCATTCCACTAACAATGTCAAGCGCTCAATTGATTCTCATTCCTAAGACATTTGCACCTAAATACTTCACTGATTTCAGGTCAACTTTTTTATCACCTTCATTAACAAAGTGTGCACTAAGATCCTGTAACAGAATACTCAATGTTTTCCTAAGTTGGTCTCTAAGGAGAAAGCAGCCTTCATTCATACTTCTAGGATATTATCGGTGACATACTTCTTGTCAAGGAATTGTTAATACACTCCTAGGATACAAGGATTTGAGGATGTGATGTGGTTAACAATCTCAATATGGGCCAAGGCTTTCGACAGTCTCTTGGTCTTTGGTTTTTTCTCAAAGCACTCCGATATAAATATGCTTCTAAACTACAGCAGTCATGCTTATCACGCAGAATTTGGAAGCAACTAAGCAACTCATCTCTCTATCCTGGTCAACGACATCCCCCATGGCTTCTTCCATATTGAGGGGTTAAACCGGGTAACCCTCTAAGCCCTTATCTTTTTATGCTCTTGTCAGAAGCCTCTTCCAGGAGCGTGACCTATTCTCCCGTGGCTTTATTTCCCCTTGTTTTGTTGCTAGAGGCTGCCCAATCATCAGCTGCCTATCTTATGCAGAGTTGCAGACTACCCACTTATATTCCTTAATGGTTCTGCATGCTCTCTTTTGGCATTGAGGGACTTCCTAACCAACTACAAGTTCAAGGACACAAACTCTCTGTGGGCCTTTTTCTAGCATAGAAGATACACTAGGGGTGACAACATGTCACCCAAGCTTCTTGCTATAAATTGGAACTTGGAAGAGACTATGCTCTATTCACAGCCAATGCTCTGAACTGACAGAAATTGACCAAAATGGTTCTTTATTTGGTCCTCTGTTGATGGAAATTTCTCATTATTTGCTGCATATGAAGATTTGAGACCCTCCAAATCAACCATTCTCTCCTGTTCCAGCATATGACACTTCAAATATACGCTCTCAATTAAAATCAGCCACCCTCTCCTGTTAAAGGACACAAACTTGTCAAATTCATTCAGTCCTTGATGGAAGAGATCATGCTCTCCCTAGCTTAAAGAAAATAAGCCTGCCACTGCAATCTAGAAAAGGTCATCCTGAGGCTCCAAACTGAACATACAATCCAACGGTCATACGAGTCGGGCCATTATCAGGAATTTTCTTGGACAATTTTTATCTGCTATCTCTGTTCACTCTAAACAATCGAGCCACCTATCTATGTAGTGGATAGTTAGCCATGGTCATTCTCACTTTATTATCAACTGACTATTTGTCTTCCTCCTTCCTTCTTAATAGATCATAACGACCCCCGGGCAAGAACTCACATCACTTACTCTCCCTCATTCAACTTATGACGCAAGAGAATGGCTTTTCTTTTTATTTTTGCTCTTCAAGAGTCAATATGGCAACCTCTTTACTTAGCAGTCATTGTATTTCCTCTACTCAAATGGTTTTTAATCTTGTATCCAGTTTACCTTATGTCAAGGGTGCTATCAGTTTAGAGTCTTTAGACAGTGTTAGTTTACCTTATGTCTTTAAAAGTTTTTTCTCATTTACTTTTGGGGTAAGGTCTATCCCCTCCATGAAATTTTATCTTTTGTCTTCATAAATTTTGATAAGAAACTCATTTACCTTCCGTTGGTTGCCTTCTAGAGTTAGAAGGGAAGAAAAAATCATTGTGAATCTTTCTTTCTAATGTGAGCTGATTAAGTTTACACAAGTGATGTGATATGATGAGCACTGTGAAATATAGTGAGCCAAGGTGGTGGACAGTGTAAGATGCCACAAACATTTTGCACGGGAATCGGGATTTTATTACTACTTCACTTCATTACAGTAGCTAATTAGTAGGAGCACTAACCTGTGTTGACAACAAGAGCAGATAGTGAGTAGTATAAAATACGGAGTAGCATCCGAACTGTACACATGTCTGCTGACGTTTACACTGAAGTTGATTCATGTGTAGGGTAGGGTATACGTACATAGTATAAGGAGTGTATATTATACAAAAGCACAAAATACAACATAGAGAATTATATAAACCATGTTTCCCTGAAACGTTTTTACATCCTATACCAAAGCTATTATAGGCCATGGAATAACTGCAGCTGCCGGCAACTGTGATCGGATCACAGGGACCCGCTTCACCATGGAAAATGCTTCATTAAGACGTGTGGCACCGCTCATGAACTGAGACACCTTCTGTATATGCCAAAGAGGTTTATAAATACAGTCAGGCTTCACTGAGCAGTTACAGACATGTCAAACCAAGCGTACAATATTTAAATCAATGCCACCAAATGGTGAAAAGTATGCATATTTCAGACTTCTCATGTTCTTCCCATGGTTAGGCATAACGGTTAACCACATAACCCAAGCTTATATTAAATTATTATAAATACAATAAAATAGGGAAAACGTAACATAGCTAGAATGTCCAGAGATAAAAGTTCTGGGATGGGCATTTCGGTTCAGTTTCGCCAGACCGAACCGAACAAAACTGGGCCAAAACCAGACCATAAGTGATTTGGTTTAAGATATTTTTCCAAATGTATTAAACTGAACCTAAATGGAACAAAATAGAACCCGAATAAGAACCCATTTGGTATTGTTAAAATTGACTGAATCTCCTGAAATTACAGAAACTAAGGCTGAATTTTTTGAATTAAGAAATGATTATATTTAAAATATTATTTCTAAATAAAATAATCTAAAACTTATGGGAAAAAACTAAAATAGTCATCTTCAGTAATTCAGCTAATTCGGCCATTGGTGAAAAAGTAGGCAGATAAGATTGATAAGCCAACAAGGGGTTACTACACGGGCTCTAAAAAATTGAGTAAGACCTTAGTATGTCTAAAAATTATGAATTCAAACTTAACCGAACCAAAACATAGTTTTGTTTTAAATTGGTAACAATTTTCCCTACCTGGAGATGCCCACCCCTAAATAAAAGGGTGTTGTGAAGCATTTAGAAAAACAATCCAAAAAACTCCAGTCAGCACGCATCCCCAAAGAGAGGAAAGTGCACTATTTTTTCCCAGAGAAAGCTATATGTGTTGTTTATCCTCCCAATCAAGAAAAACTACTTTATACATCGTTTAACAAACATACATTGTTATGGAATGATTATTTTTCATTCTCAAAGCAACCAGGAAAAAAAACAGTTACAATCCTTCAGGAAAGAACGTTTCTTGGTTGGTTATTGAATGTAACATTGGTCTGCATATGGGGAGTATAGACAATAACCTAATGGAGGGCAGAATACACAACTCTCATGGGCAACTTCTACCGAAATTAAAACGCGTAGTAAGAGCATCTCCAATGCATACATGTCTAGTCTAGGTAAAGTGTACCACATCTTTAAATTAGACATCACTGAACATTTTCCCTTCCAATGGTTGTACTGTTGTAGTCTATAATCAAAATTTGCTGACATGGCAATAAAGAAACTACACACCGTGAAGAGGTGAAGGAAGATGTTTGAGAGTAGAAAGGCCTCTACACTTGCTGACCAGATAAAAAGAGGTCCAACTCTCCTGTGAAGTTTTACTTGTGGCAGGCACCAAAAAGTTGTGCATTGGAAGTTATGTTGTAGTTCAATATCTAGTGATTCTAGTCACTCCAATTCCTATTATGTGTATTATAAAGTCAGTTATTTATTTGACACTTCCTGTTATTTAGACTAAACATGTAAGCATTGGGGGTCTCTAAAGTATAGCTGCAAGAAAGTAGGAATCTAACAATATAGTTATTATATATGTACTCCTCATAAGATACTTAGAGCTCAATAATTAAAATGTTAAAGCTTGATAAATTAAATTTAAGCACAGGAGACTGGGTAACAAAAAAACTTCGCACGAACCTTGTCATCCACTGTGATATTCAGCTCCAAGTTCTTGACTTTCTTCTTCTTCTTATTCAACATCATCTTATACATCAACCTTTGGCCCAAAAAAGCAAGGCCTAAAGCAGCAGCCGCAGCCACCGAGAAGTTCCAGATAGGACTAGATCTGAACACAACACCATACTTGAGAAAATCAAAAGGTACCTTCCACCACACCACACTTCTACTCCTCTTTACTTCATCTGGCTTCTTCCACGCACTTTCCACAGCTTCAGATTCGTTCTTTTGTCCCGCAGCTTCCAAATCTGCATCTCCTTCAATTCCGGGGGACTCTTCAAACTGCTCAATCTTCAATCCATCACCAGAATCGTTCTTCCCGCACCCACATCTTATCTCCTGGATCCCATCAAAACCCTCTCGAACCGGTTCTTTCGGGAGAACACCCATTTCACCTTTACCCTCAAACGTCCGATCCTCCGACCCGTCACTGCCCGAGTCGGGCCAAGACTCTCCGGATTCCTTCCTCGGGTATCCGGCCTCCGACCTGGGATCAATCCAACTCGGACTGTCAGAGGCCTCGGAACCCGCCTCGCTCACATTGACATCAGCAACACTGCCCATATAACTCTCCCTAGTACCTAAAGAGAAGTAATTGGCATGTATAGTACCTACAGAGTCGGCTCCGATTTCTTCTAAAGCCTTTGGGCTCTCATCAGAATCACCTAAACCCGAATCAGCCGAAATCGGGTCGGGTAAGAGAACTTCCCAGTCCTGGAGCTCCGCGGCCTCAACATCCATGGCGAGTTTACAGAATTTGTTAGCCTTGTTACGGTTAAGTGGCCGAGCTGATAAACCTAGCACTATAAGAGGACCGCGAAGAAGAAACCTGATACGAAACTTCGCTCGAGTGGTTTTGAAAAAGCATCAACTTGTCTACCCAAATGACACTTCTTCTGTCTGTCACTATAATGACAAGTACGTAAGGAGTGTTTGTATTTGATTAAAAAAAAGTTTCTTTTCAACTTTTGGCTTAAAAAAGTTAAAAAGAGTGTTTTCAAATGACAATTTCTGCTTAAATTAATCACTTAAAAGCTAAAAGCTGGAAGCAGGTGGAAGGGTGCTTTAAACTGTTTTTCACTTTTTCTATTACACAAAAAGTACTTCTTTTACCAAACACTACCAACTTTTACTTTTTCAGAATCACTTTTTCTTCAAACACTACCAACTTTTACTATTAATCACTTTTCCCAAAATCACTTTAAAAAATCACTTCTTTAAAGTTGAAGCAATTGCAAACACTCCCGTAATTGCAGACGACATGGATACGGGTTTTAAATTTTGGTTATGCATAATTGTTTCCACCTTATACCCACCTATTTTTTTGTCTGTGCAGTCGCTTCACAGAAAAAATATGTCTTTGAATTTCTTCACAGACAAATTTTGTCTGTGAAGGAATTCACAAACAAAAAAATAACTTCACAAACATGAGTGAGTATAAAAGTGAGTATAAAAGAGAGTACAAACATCATTTTCCTATTAACACTTACATGCCCTGTTGTTTTAAAAATATGACATCTTGTTGAAACGGATTTATTTGGGTTAGCAATTTCAAATTGTCATACATTACTCATGTAATCAAAATCTATTGTTTTATTTGAGTTATAAATTGCTGACATGTCAATTTCTTATTGGTTCGTTAACAAAAATAATTAGCATCACTAATGTTGTAAATTCAAAATCATATGACCGACTTAATAGAACAACTTAAGATAAGAATATGTTATTAATGCTTATTCAAAAGTCAACAACGGATTTTGAATGTTGCAAAGTGCATCTAAATAGGACTCTCTCTCTATAATAATAACAACAACAACAATTTATAATAATAATAACAACAACCACAACAACAACAACAATAATAATAATAATACTCCCTCCGTCCCGCAATAAACTTCATACTTTTCTTTTCGGGCAGTTCCGAAATTAACGTCACACTTCAAAACTTTCCTTATTTGTCAAATTACATACATCAAAACAGTGTCAAAAAGTGTCAAATAGTAATAATAATAATAATAATAGTAATAATAATAATAATAATCTTGTACAATAGATAATAATAATAATAGATAATAATAATAATAATAATAATAATAATAATAATAATAATAATAATAATAATAATAATAATAATAATAATAATAATAATAATAATAATAATAATAATAATAATAATAATAATAATAATAATAATAATAATAATAATAATAATAATAATAATAATAATAATAATAATAATAATAATAATAATAATAATAATAATAATAATAATAATAATAATAATAATAATAATAATAATACTCCCTCCGTCCCGCAATAAACTTCATACTTTCCTTTTTGGGTAGTTCCGAAATTAACGTCACACTTCAAAACTTTCCTTATTTGTCAAATTACATACATCAAAACAGTGCCAAACAGTGTCAAATAGTGTCCAAAAAGTGTTTGAACAGTGCAAAACAGCGCACTCCACAATTTATAATAATAACAACAACCACAACAACAACAACAAAAACAACAACAACAACAACAACGATAATAATAATAATAATAATACTCCCTCCGTCCCGCAATAAACTTCATACTTTCCTTTTTGGGCAGTTCCGAAATTAACGTCACACTTCAAAACTTTCCTTATTTGTCAAATTACATACATCAAAACAGTGCCAAACAGTGTCAAATAGTAATAATAATAATAATAATAATAATAATAATAATAATAATAATAATAATAATAATAATAATAATAATAATAATAATAATCTTGTACAATAGATAATAATAATAATAGATAATAATAATAATAATAATTAATAATAATAATAATAATAATAATAATAATAATAACCCTGTCCAAACCCAAAAAAAAAAACCAAAAAAAAAACAAGGCCCGAACCGGGCCGGGCCGGTTTGCCTTTTGCTTGACCCGGGCTCAGAACCGCTTAACCCCTCTGGCGTAGGCCCGAACCGGAACCATAACCGGTTTCCCGGGCCAGGCCGGTTCTAAACAGTACTGGGCCGGTTCCGAGCCGGGCAGGCCGAACCGAGTCCATCCCTAGTTGACACTATAATGTGCATGAGTTATCACAAATTCACAGCTGATAGAAAATCATTTATTTACTCGATTATAACATTTGTTAATAATGTTTATTGAGTATGTCATATTTTTGAACTAATTATCTCAACATGTTTTCAATCTATATTTTTCAATTAAAAGAGACAATTTTGTTTATAACTAATTAGGCTTTTCAACCATCTTTACGTAAACAAAATAAAGAAATTGCTCAATGTCTAATTTTATCATTAAATTTCAGTTGTTTTTTTCAAAAGTAACTACACATTTATTTCATTTCCATCATTTGCAATGGAGTCAAAGAGTCATTATTTTTTGGCTTGAGAATATGATGGAATAAAGCAAAATGGCTCACTGAACTGTCTGTGCTTCTTTGTTATGAAGCAGCAGTCAGTCCATGCAATTTTGGACGCGATTTTCACTACGGGTCATCCAGAAACAGTCTCTTTGTGCTTTAGTACAGGGGTAAGACTACGTACATCCGACCCCCCCTTACCCCACCGTAGGTGGGAGCCTTTGCGGCACTGGGGTAAATGAAAATGATGAACTACTCATTTATTTCATTTAATAATGGGTGTAGTCAATTTCTTTTAAGATAATAGCCGTTCTAGGATTTAGAATTTAGTAAATTAGTCTTTCGATCTCTTTCTTTAGAAAAATAGTTAGAATATATAATTTGTGAAATTCTGATTTGAATGAAGATGATGGTGGCTTGAACAAGCTACATAACATGATTGACAGTGGCAGAAAAAAAGGTTGCATGCTTTAGATTTTTAGTAGACAATTTTTACCTTGATAGTAAGAAGAATTAAATCAGTAAAAAGGTCAAGGTCTCACATCAAGTGGTAGCTAATAATTGAAACATAAACATATCAAACTACACAACGAAAAATGAAAAGACAAATGTCCTATATGGCTATATTCATTAACGAAAAATGATATCAATTTTCATGATCAAATACTCAAATAGTACTACATTAAAGTTACATTCACGTAAAAGATTCTTTTAGTGTGAGGATATAATTGCTATATGTAATATGTAATTAATAAAAACCTTCAGATATCTAAAAGGAAGCAGACAAATTCTTTGTCTAAAGACTTCATCATTAAAAAAAGACTTCATCGTATAAGAAATCTCATATTCTCGTAAAAAAGACTTCATCTGAAGCTTCCAGTCGGGCCCAAAAAAATCGATCCCAAAGCCCGCCCTCATAGCCACCGGGCCAGGCCCTGGGACGGGACCGGACCTATACAATAATGGGCCGGGCCGGGCCGGGCCTAAACATTACCGAGGTCGGGTCAGGCCGACCCGCCCAATCCATCCCTAGTTATAACATATGCCAACACATTATATCGTTGGCATATGATAAAGATTAGTTCGAGTCAGATAGAATAAATTAAATATAGCATTTGAATTTACAAAATCAAAGTCCTTGATCATAAAACTTGACCAAATGGACAGTGCTATTTATGTGAAGTTATAAATTTTGCACCACAAAATCAACCTCTTCCACTAGGGCATACCTCAAAAGAAACTGATAAATTAAAATCACAACACAGACTTTGAGCAACTAGATTTTATTGCACTGTTTTAGAGCAATATGTATATCTTAAAACTATCGACAATCTGCTCCAATTGCCTCATAGATTGTCTTATAACCATCCCTTTCCAAGCATTGGGTAAGCTCAGCCTACAAAGATGGCATGCATGACGTAAGAAATATAAAACATTATTCACATATTCAGGCAAAAATCATAACCCACAAGCAAATATATCTACCAAAAAATATAATCCCGATATCCCAAAAAATAGAAGCCATATCGGTCGTATTTTTAGGACTTAGTATTACAAAAATTTTAAAAAGGGCAGCGTGGTGCACATTTGCATCCAGTAAGACGAAGGTTCGGGGAGGAGTCCCACTCCAAGGGTGTATAGAGGCATTGTTAGTAAAGATTGAAAATTGAAAATGACCATATTTGAATCAGTTTATATTCGATCGTTTAGTTAAAAAATCCACCATATTTGATCTTCAAATATTAAAAATGATACTGTTAGCAAGACCAGATATGATGACACAATGTTAGAGTTTGGCACTAAATATGTTTAAGGGGAAAACTGTCAAATAGGTCCTTGTACTTTAGGCAAAATGGCAATTGGTCCCTTATACTATAAAAACACTCAATTAAATCCTCAAACTATCAAAAAACACTCAATCCAGCATTCTAGCCTGTCACAAACCGGTTCATCCATTATTTGGTGACGTGTATTGATTGATTGCATTAATTATCATCCCCAATGAAAGAGAAGCACTCTTTCGTGGTGCATGATGTTTGTCGACAATATTGTATTGATTGATGAGACACAATCGAGTGTTAGAGAAAAGTTAGAAGTATGGCGGCAAAATTGGAGACCAAGGGTTTCGTACCGAGTTGAAGCAAGACCGAGTATATGGAATGCAAATTGGTGGAGATACAAGTAGTGGTAACAGTGGGATTACCCTTGATGGCAAAGATATACCAGTTTGTTATATGTTCTGTTACTTGAGCAGGGTGCACTAGATAGATACCAGTTTGTTATATGGCAAAGATATCCCTCCATAGTTTGGAAGGATGGTGAACTAGATAGATATGTATCCCGTAAAATCAGAGCAGGGTGCATGAAATGGAAGAGTGCACTAGGATTTCTATGTGATTGAGGTATGCCGACTAGACTGAAGGGTAAATTTTATCAAACAACAATAAGGCCTACATTAATGTATGACATAATGTTCGACAGTGAAACAATGTCACCTTCAATAGATGTGTATGTTGCGTTAAATGTGTAGACATACCAGAAAAAGTAACTTGAGGAATGAGATAATCAGACAAAAGGTGAGAGTAGCACATATAGAAGTTAAGATGCAAGAGTCTCGATTGTGGTGGTTTGGTCATGTACAAGACCGAGTTACGCACGTGTTAGGCGAGTTGAGAGGTGGCGAGAAGAGGCGAAGAGGATAGGGAGAGGAAGATACAAACAAATGTGGACTAGAGGAATTAAGAGTGATACGCTTCTTCTGGGATTGGATGAGAGAGCAAAGTGATGGGCGAATATTTGTGTGGAGGATTGATCTCTTTTCTCTCTCTTTCTTTTATCTTCTTTATCTTTCTTATGTTTTTATGTTGTTTGTATCTTTTATCTTTCTATGTTCTTTTATTTTATACTACGTATTTATCTTTATCTTATCCTTTTTATCTTAATTCTTACCT